CGTTTGGACACTTGTCCAAGAAGATACATGTCATATAACTGTTCTGTTCTGCTGTCACGAGCTTTCGCTGAAATGCTGCAAAAACATGAAAAAACATTCTTGTTGCCACGCTAGTAGTAACAAGTGCCTTACTAGTAGTAACAGGTGCCTTACTAGTAGTAACAAGTGCCTTACTAGTAGTAACAAGAAGCTAGTAGTAACAAGACGTTCATTCACCTTTGACTATAGATGGGACCAACAGATTCGAGCTACATGTTACATAACACATCAAGGGAAGGCAAGCCATCCTAAGGGTCCTAGCGAGCAAACGCGACGGGGCCTTAAAAATGGCCTCTAGCAAAACTTTCAAAAGGTGAACGACATCGAAATCAAAGCAAACCTGAGCAAGCGACGCTCGGAGCCTGCGAAAGGCAGGCTGCGCAAACCACTTGCTAAATCTCAAGGAAACTCTCAATTCTCAATTGAAAACTTACTAGTAGTTTCTTGCTACTAGTAGCGCCAGGAGCCCCTAGTAGCGTCCTTACCCGTAGAAGTAAGGCCAGGAGCTCCTACTAGTTCTTGCCACTAATAGATGGCCTCCAACCTACTTGTGATGGCGTCCTCATGACCTTTCAAATCCCGCCTTTCCTTTGACATTTGCAGGATCGCTTCGACCTTGGAAAATTGAAAGAGCCCTCAGCACCGAAACTGCTCCTGAGCTCAAAGCGATTTGATCTTCTGGAGCCACCTGAATCGACGTTCGTGCTACAGCACGAAGGCGGTGGGGCGGGCACCAAGGCGACAAGTTGCGACAAGAGTTCCGTGGAAAGCACGTGCAACACGCCACGCATCGCCACACCCTTCACACCAAGTCCCAATGGCCAGGAGGTTTTAGTAGCGTCCCTCTGCTCCGTTCGTAGCGATGCCAGGAGCCCCTCCGATCGCTCCGATGCCCTTTGCTGTCCAAAGGCCCGGTCCGGCCACGGAGCTTCACCCTTCACCCTTCACGCGCCGCAGACGACCAACCCCGACCAGCCAGAAATTCTCCGCAAGCACCAACGATGGAACCCTCCGCTGTTCCATCTGGAACGCTCCCACTCCGGTTGATCCTATTCGTGAAACTCCTCACGAGGAAGCCTGGCAAGCATGGATAGCCAAATGTTGCCAATCATGCGCAGGTGTCAGGCATGGTGTCATGCTGCCCACCTCCAATCCAAACCCGCGCAGTTTTGACTCGAGACTCTACTAGGGCTACTAGGGCTAGGGTCTACAGGGCCCAGGCCCTCACAGGGCCATCCACCTTTGCAAACGGATCTGGCACTCGCACAAGGACTCCAACTGCCCACAATGAAAATGCAGCGGACAAGCGACCTGTAGCAAACCTTCAACAGTTCGGAGGGTGCCGGTATGTGGCACGTGTCACAAGCAGTTTGCGCGTGTCAGCTGAAGTGTGCGATCCACAACTCGAACCCCCCAAAACGATCCACGTAAAGGGTCAGCAAAGTCATACCCTCTACCCATTGCAGCACACTGCTGGTTGGGAAAACGCGATCAAAGCACTCAATACCTAGACAAAAACCTTTACAGTATAGAACTCCTTTCAGTAGCCACACTTTGGTTTAACTCCTGTCGCTACCAAGGAACTGTAGCAAAAGACCAAGCAATGTTGGCCATATCCACTTCTTTGAGCTCAGGCCTCAGCTCAACAGCTGGCAGCAGAAGCCAAACCTCTTGCGGCTGGGAGCCAAGCAGCAGCTTCAACCCAGCATTTGAGACCTCAAAAGAAGAACTACTTGAGAAGAAAGTAAACAATTGCTGAGTTAAGAAGACGCCAAATGATTTATAAAGAGGGCCTCACCCTCCGATTTGAGCTTACCACATACATGGGCTTACCACCTATATATTAGTGCAACACATGTCACAACTCCTCCACCTGCAAGGGAATGTTTCATCTCACGCAAAATACCCTCAGGGTGGGGCAGCACCAAAGGCTTCCGCGTCAACGGCACGCAGTGTGGCAAAAGTTCACGCAACCTGAATGTCAATACGAGTCAGCCAAAAGTCCGGTCTTTCGAACTGGTTAAAGAATGAATGGCGCTATTTGGCCAAAACGAATAGCGCGCAAAGTGGGAATCGATGCCTGCTAGGTGCGAACCCAGTGTGGCAATAAACACAGAACCGAGGGGACAAAAACCAAAGGAGAACCGAAGGAGAACCGACTTTGAGCCTCACCGAATCGCGAAGGTTCAAGGAAACTCCCTAGTAGCGCTACCTAAGTAAGCTCCTCTCGACCTCCCAGCTGTACCTCCCGAAGGTCAAAATACATCTAGATTGATAAGTTAAACAGTTAAACGATCTACAGTTTTGAACAGAGTGTGCCCCGGGCGGGTGGAACAGTTCCAGTTCCAGTTCCAGTTCCACGTTGTCCAACACGGAAGACTGGGGAGGGGGGAGGGGAGTTCCACTTCCAGTTCCAATTGTGGGCCCGAGTCTGGACGTGATTGCCAACCTCAGTTTAGCGTGGATGATTATTTTTTATCCGGGGGGGGGAGTTCCAGTTCCACTTCCAGTTCCAGTGGGGTACACTATGGTTTTGAAGGTAACATCTGACGCCGCTGTCCGGATGTGGAGGTCCATACACTGGCCAGAAGAAAGTTGCGCTTCTTGATGTTGAAACTCATGACA